CTCACGGCTGCATTTGGCGCGCCGCCAAACCCATTCCTCCACCAGTTGTGATGCGAGTAAGTGGCAGCAACTGGTGGAAAATGACCGACACTAACCATATGATAGTCTTCTCGTTTGCCAATCGAAAAAAGAAGAAACGGGCTCGGCGGAGCGCCAAACGCAGCCGCTCCCCCATTATCCGCAGCGAGCAAGACTATGCATCATTGTTGAATGGAACTAGCATAATGGAAACACTTTTGAGCATGTTAATCTAAAAAATATGAAGCTAACATTTGGTTTAGCCAGGCGGCGTAACAACGGGGTACGGTACGCAGCGCGTTGATACAGTAATTCGGAAACGAGCGTCAAATATAAAAGTGTGGGTTCATAGACACACACACAACAGGCACACAAGAATGCACCAAAATTATGTGGGAGCTCGCGGGGTAGGACCATTATTGCGCCCAGGTTTACTATTGCCTGAGGTATGCGCACAATTTCGAGGCGCTACTCCAACAAGGTGGTGCCATTGAATTTCCTTGGGCAAGACCAAGATTACTGTAATGCGCGGGAGCTGATTCACACACTCTGGCGCTCTCTTCCTCAGGCTAGGGGAGCCAAATCCTTATACTGCAGGCAATCGCACAGTCCTCGAATGCCCATGCTAGAACAGGCTACATCGCCATTGTGGAACTTACAACGAGGGTCGTATTTGACCGCTGGGAAGGGGTCGCATCCCACCTTGAGAGAAAATTTCTTAATTGTTGAATCCCCCCCCCCTTGGCTGGACGGCAAAGTTTTGGAAAGGCGGTGGGTAGGCAAAGAACTGTGGTCGTACTGAAAAGCGAAGCAGAAAATAGGGGAAGGGTCGCATTTCGAAAAATTCCCTTAGCGCTATGATGTGCACCGCTTGGAACAGTGCCAAATGTGAAGGGTTTGTAATTTGCCGGTCTGCCGGCAGACTTTCTTTTGTGGGGATCCTGTCAACTGGATGTCATCTCGCTGGGAGGATCCAGAAGTGTTTCCTCATCGGACCTTCTGACCAAGCATCACTAGTGAAGGAAGTGAGGAAAAGGGAAGAGAGAAGGAAGGAAAGAAAACAAGGGAGAAGGAACAAAAAAGGAAGGAGGAGGAAGGTTCAGAGAGTGAAAGATATTCCGAGATCGCACCACATCAGCTGATAGTTCTATGTTTTTGTGCCAGTTATTACCGAATTGTCTTTCAGGGTTTCTTCCGAAGGAGTCAATCATCAGTCACGAATTACCAGTGTCCGAGGCAGAAGAACTGTACAGTGGATAGGTGGTTATTAGACCCCCGCTTCTTCACGCTAACCGTTTTCTCATTGCCTTACGTTTCAGGGTGAACCGTAATCGCTGTCAATATTGCCGGCTAAAAAAGTGCATGGAACTTGGTATGAGTCGTGACGCCGTGAAATTTGGCCGGATGAGCAAAAAACAGCGAGAGAAGGTCGAGGATGAGGTTTGCATGTTTCCGGCCCTTTGTTTGTGCAGCGTCCATGCCAGATCCGTGTATTTCGTGAACAAATTTCCTATGCATCGATATTGTTGCATTGCATCTTGAATGTTAGTGGATTTCGGCGCTAACGTAGTTGGGAGGGACCATTCGCCTTCATCCTCCGTATCTTTTCCCTTGATCAAAGATTCTCAGTGGAGATTATGTCTTCCCTGCAGGACTGCCTCCAGACGACTCTGGTTGTCTGCGCTCTGGGCGAAGCCTTTTTGTGGATAGAGAAGTGTCCAAGTGATGTCCCCCCCTCTTCCAGTACGT